GCAGAAAATTCTGCAAATCTACACATTTATCAAATTTGATATCGTGGAACTTAAGCCTCACATACTTTTACTAAAGGAATATTTTCCGTTATGATATGCCTGGGATATTAAATATAGGTCTCAATTTATATTTTTATAACAAAATGTACACCTTCTCTCAACAAGTTTTGCCAAGAAAGGAAGATATATTAAGGAAGTCAAGATAAAATTTACGCAGTTTTTTGCCTAAAAATCGCATATTTTGACCAATATTTCAAAATTTACATCACTGACCCCAACTTTTTCTTTCATTAATTTAAACTTCTCGATACTTTTGACCGATCAGCACTTAAGTCGTAAAAAGTTTGATACAAGAAAATATTTTATTGCCTATTTTAGATTTTTAATACCCCAAATATGAGACTTTTTTAGTGCAAAAAGGTCACACAATAATTTACGCGTTTGAATTTGCATGATTTGTTCGATGATAAATATTATTCAAACTATTTTACGTAAAATAAGATTATGTTTATTGTCATGGTTACATCTGATAAAATATGATAACGGTTAAAGTGATTAACCAAAGAGTTACAATTTAAGTGCAAAAAGGTCAACTTAATTGTACCGTAGCTCAGTTAGATGCACACTGACCCCCCATTTTCTCTGCGATTTTGAGTCATACTAAATGAGTACTTATCCAAAATATACTTCTCAAAAAATCCTTGATATAACAAATTTCACGAGTGACATACCTTAAGTAAAAAAAGGTAAATAAAATGAGCTATACTTATTCTTACGTTTAACGTATATATTCAAAACCACACATCCAGTTCCTGTCCAAATCTTACAGGAATGGTAAAGATCTCATACAGTCTCGAGCATGGTCTCGTTAAAGGACATTCGACTCGTCGGATATTATGCTACACTTAAAAACAATAAAGAATATCATCCAAACACATTAGTAGGGGTTTTTACAATGTTTAAAAAGCTTAGTCTATTTTTGATGGTAGACACCTAAAATAAGGGTTATGGATTTCATAATTTTGATGGAACATTATACTCATGTCAATAGTTTGACTGCTTTCTATCCAAGAGGAAAAAAATGTATTTTCAAATGTGAAATAAATTTTAAATACATTTCCTGTTAAGTGTCATGCTGCATGTGCCTAAATTCTAGATATTCACAAGTGGAGTTAATACTCTAGCTAGATATGCAGGTGTACAGAAAAAATATTTAAATATTGCATGAACAAAAATGACTTCAATCTCACCCTTCATATAATTATTATCCTATAAAAACAGCTTATTACTTGTTACTTTTTTTTATATAAAGCCCTGACATTTATCGCTATTTTTAAAAGGCTTAATAAAACTTTAATTTTTTTTTTTTTTTTTTTTTTTTTTTTTTTTAAAAAGACGTTATGATTTTTTGTTGTTGTTGTTGTTGTTTTTTTTTTTTTCAAAAAGGAATAATAACTCTTTTCAAATGGAAAAGGTAAGGGTAATAGCAGAGATCCATCTAAAAAAATATCTATAAACAGTACAAACGTGTGTACAGGGCATAAAACCTGGAACCCCGGAAACTCCAGAGATGAAATCAGCTGTCTAGGAAAGATAAGCATCCCCTGCTGACCAAACACAAGCGCCGTGAGCCCTATGTATTGATCAGGCAGTCAAATTTAGTATAAAAATGCATAACAATTGGTATAAACACATTGAAATCCCTGTAACATCAACTCATCTGTCATTAACCTGCGTAATAACGCCTTTTTCACTTCGCGTTATTAATCTTTTTTTTTTCTCGTTATAACTTTTTTTCGCGTTATAACGTTTCTTCGCGTTATAACGCCTTTTCTGTTTGCCTTATTGCGCCTTTCCCCCCGTTTTAACGTCTTTTCATTTTGCTTTGTAACGCTTTTTATTCTTCCCCCTAGATTGATCCTAATAGGCGTTCGTACGTAGATAAATGTTACTTAAATACTACTTTAATTTTTATTTTACATTATTTTAGCATTACTTATACTTAATGAAGTAGCAATGGTGTGTGCCATGATTTCAAATCATGTATATTTTTGGCAGATATATAATTGTGATATGATAACATCAGTACACTGTGACTCACAACATTTGAATGTTATGTAAAACTCAAACAAACAAACTCTCTCTCTCTCTCTCTCTCTCTCTCTCTCTCTATATATATATATATATATATATGTTAAGCCTTTGTGTTTTTAACAGCATCTTTTGAATTTGTACTGTTAACACGTATTAACAATACACATGTACGAGTTTGGCATCAAAAAACATTTTTTTTTTGTGACATCTCATAAAATTTTCTTTTTGCTGGATGTAAAGGGTGAAAATGGAAAAAAAGTGATCGATGTCATAAAACGAGTCAAGCATATGAATCTTGAACAGGGAAAAAGACAGTGCCCTAAAAACGCCAGAGGTAGGTTCATGTGCCTAGGAGTAGTAAACATCCCCAATAGGACAGTCACGCCCTCACTGATCCCCCCCCCCCCCGTATTGATTAGGTACACAGAAATATGTTTCTGTTTTAGTAGGCCATGTAGTTGGTTTTATTTATACTCTAAAACTGCATGATTTTCCACGAGTACATAACAACACACAACGCATATTCAGCATTATGGTATTTCAAAAGATAAGACTGACATACACCCACACAGAGTAAAAAAAAAATAAATTATCGCAGTCGACAGACCTTGAAAAAGAAAAGTAATCAGATATTGATATGTTAGTGTGTTTTACTGCCTGCTTAGGGTTTGACAATTGCTTACTGATTGTTTATCAAAATGCATGTAACAATGTGCTATTTTGCCGTGATTATTGCTTGCATTCACGGATACAGTAAGTAATGTTTACAGTAGTTTATTGCTATGCGTTTCTAATATAAATAAAGTATTATTATTATTAATTTTAATATTGAAAGATTCTCTAATTTCTGATAAACGTAAAAATGTCAATTAAGGTTAAGTTTACACTTAAAAGTATTCGGTATGAAAATGGTTTGCTAAATTTATTTCCATGTTCAAAAATAGGAGTTCTTGGTCGAAGAATTTTTTTATGTATATATTACATGTAAAAATTTAAATTAAAATTCATTGTAACACATATCATTATTGATTTCCTTTCATTGAATTGTAAACTTACCTATCCTTCACTGCACATCGCACAAGGTAAATATTTCTACATAACATGCAGGTGATATAGGAGGAAATATATCGAAACTGCACGACTTCATAAACAATATACACTGCATCATGTTAATTTTTTTAAGTAGATGAACTATACAATTATTGACTTTTGATGAGGTCTACTCGTGACTTTACGGACCTGATCAGGTATTGGTTGACCGATGCCGAAGGCCGAGGTTAACCAATACCCGATCAGGTCCGTATAGTCACGTATAGACCGAATTCTAGAGTCAAGAACCGTTTTATTAAATGATCAGGAATTGTACAAGATTTTTGACACTTTAGTTCTTGTCTTCAACAAATATAAACACTCATAATATAATGCATAGTGTAACAACACGTTATAATTATATTTTAATTGCTAAACAAATGTTTAAAAGTGGAAAACAATATTATTAAACGATAAATACTCAATCATTTACTAGGAAAGGAGTTTATTCTCTTCGGTATTGGCGTCTACCATATTTAACTTCACAACGACACATGCGTTAGAACGCGCAATTTGATTGGTCGAAAAAAATGTAAGCAAATCTATGGTTTGTCAAGAGGGAAAATCCAAATTAACTCCCGGAACTTTATTTTGAGGTTATCTCACTCGAGGTATACCCCAGGAAAAGACCAATTAGAGAGCCTCAAAATTCCTGATCATTTAATAACTTAAAATGTTCTTCTCTGTCATAAAATCATTCATTGCGTGAGGATCATTAAAAAATACATAGACTTCTGTCATAACTTTTTTTTATGCAACCTCATATTATTGCCAAATTTGGTAGAGATATTTCAACTTATAATTAGAACAGTTTGAGTGAAAAAAAAATCAAATATATCCACATATTTTAAGAAATATTTGAAATTTAAAACTAGATAAAAATGGGGTCACGGAGCAAGTTCATTTGTTTTAATGTAATCGCAACACACTATTAATTTTACTAGTCATATTTCACACGAAGTCATTAAAACAAAATAGAAATTTAATATTTAAATTGAGTATGGATATATAATTTTTATGTCAAATTTTGATGTTATATATTACTTCGTTGAACAAAAATCAATGAAATCAATTGCAGATGAATCATAGTCCTCAATGAAAAGCGGAAAAAGATGACTTCACATGACGTCACGAAGCAGCTTGTAACGAAAAATTTTTGTATATTTCTTTTCAAAAATCGTGATATACCCAAAAATGATTTAATTTTGTGTTGCATTCGAAGGATCTCCATAACAAATAATGAAAATGCTGAGGGAAGCAAGATATATATCAAAAGTTAGTTTTGTATGTTTTATAAAATGGCACAGGATACATCTTTTTTTAAAATTAAAAAAAAAAAAAATCAATTTTTCAATTTTGGACGATGGGCGGCCTCGAAAGAAATAAACTCTCAGTAAAAAAATCTGGTCAAATCTGTTGGTAATGTCATGCTTTTCGCTACACTACTGCAAAGTTTTGAAAGCAGAGACGTAGTAACTAAAGACATTGTCGAACTATTTTGATATTCAAATAACTATTGGCAAACTAAGTATAGTGTTGTCTAAAAACATTTTCTTTAATGAATGGATGAGGCGACATAGGTTTTGTGTTAAGAGAAACTCATGACGTTATGTCTTTGACGTTACGTTAATGATTGTTCAATAGTGACAAAAGATGTTGATTTTAAAATAATGTAACATAAGTTCCACTTGATCAAATGGAATGAAACTGCTCACTTCGTCAAAATAAATGATTTTATATATATATGATAATTTGTTGATCTTATAAATTTTTCAAAAACAGTATGACGAAGGACGACATTTTCTCTGTTTTTAATGATGATCAGCAGAAGCAGCAGAAATGTGTCATTCTCAGCAATGCTGTATGTCATTTTCTTACTAGTGAATCTGGCCCTCAAAAAAAAAACCACGTGGCAAAGCACGTCCCATGACGCCTCTGTTGGTTCTGAGAAAGCTGTTGATGGTTTAAAATCAGATCTGTCCTACGTTGGACAACAGTGCAGTATTTCATTGGATGGACAGACAACTGTGACATGGTGGGTGAACCTCGGGGGGATCTTAAGTTTATATAACATAGTCATCTTCTACAGGACGGACAACCTAGTCTGGAGTACGTATAATTCCAATTGAAATAGAATAGCATTTTTTGTCTGTATAATTAAGTGATTTGCAGTTTGGTAGGAGCAACAGCTTTTTGTCTTACGGTAACAGAAAAAGAAAAAAAAAAAAGAAAGAAAAAAAAGCTAGATTTTAATTTACACAATAAGGATAAAATATAAAAACAGAAATGCGTTTCTATCTAGATATTACTATATATGTATCAAAACATTGTTTAACAATTTGAATTATTACCTGTATCATACGTACGATATTACATTATCAAAATATTGTTTGAGAAACCAATTCATAATATCTTATAAAGAAATATAATTGTGTATCATAATTCACATGTACACCACTATACGAAACTAGACCGCTCGGCTCTCTAGGCAAGTCTAACAACTGAGTTTTAATGTCAAGGAATTTTATTTTAATCTTTCCGAAATATTATCATCGATATTACAATATTTGTTTCGTTAAACAGTAATTGTGATATCAGGGGCTTGTTTTTCAAGCTTCCAGAATATTTTTTTTTTCAAATTTGATCTGGTTCATGTTTTGTTTTGACATATCGGCACGGATAATTTTACGCTGTAAACAAACAAACAAACAGACAACTTGAAACAAAAACAAACAAACAAAAATGAAATTTAAAAAGAAACACTACAAAACGCTGAAAATATATATTATTGATTCATATGGATTCTATGGATGTCTGTTTACTGGAATATTTTGAATAAAAGTCTGAAGTACTTTTATATTATATATTCTTTGAGTTAATTCTATGCTACTAGCTTATGAAACCCTGTGACTTGCGTGCACTCGTTTCGTACAAACTGTGCAGTAAAGTGTAATGTGGATCATCTGTTTTCTTTGTGTACATATATTTTGAGACCCATGGTTTTTTTTTTTCCGTGCAAAGCGTGTAACCTTTGCAGCGTTAATTGTGATAGTAGCACCTTTCGGACTTTGTGCAATGGCAAAAGTTCACAAATTTCGGATGCCAGAAGTAAATAAGAAAAAAAAAATCATATTGTAAATTTTACACATTTTTTTGTGAAAGTTATATTTGTAAATTGTGCATTTATACTATAATTCTAGAAAAATGCAGCTAGTTAATACATCATTATATATTGGGGGTTTCATATGATATGTTTCTAATAGAAAGAATTAAGATCTTTCAGCAACCAAACTGGTTGTTACCAACATCAACTGCATAGGGCACAAAAAAAAAAAAAAAAAAAAAAAAAAAAAAAAAAAAAAAAAAATCGCCAATTGCAAACACAAAGGATATTGGATCTTACATATCATCAATATTTTTATTGATAAAAAAAAATCGTGCACTGAATGAAAATAACGTGTTTTATTATTATTTTTAGATGCTTCTAATGACCACTCTGGTAGATTTCTGGGATTTTCTGTTTATGTATCCAACACAACAAACAGACTTGATGGCATGTTATGTTTTCACGATACAATGTACACCAGGGCCACAATACCAGCTGTCGTCATTATAACATGCATTGTACATGGTCAATACGTCATCTACTACAACGAGAGAATTCAAAATATTATTTATCCAAGTGAATATTCCACGCACGCATTTGTTGAACTCTGTGAGGTTGAGGTTTATGGTGAGAATTTATACAATGAAGCTACATGTACCTAATAAGATCAGAGACTATTTGTTATCGTATTAGGTGACTATTGCTCGTTGCCATAAACGATCTTTTCAAATATTTGCTATGCTTGCAAATATATTTAAAGGTTGTCCTGCTCCTAGACGATATGGGTCAAATTGTTCCCTGCAGTGTCCTACAAATTGCAAGCAGTACTGTCATATAGAATCAGGATATTGTTTTCAGTGTCATCCGGGCTATATGGGCGGTCATTGCGAACAGCGTGAGTTTTTCTTAATATTTGAGTACCTAGCTGAAATACATGTATACTCTACTGAAAGTCGGACTTTTTTATTTTATTGTAACAAACTGTCTCTGTCATATTTCACTTTACTATTTCAATTAACGTTATCTAAGGATATCTATGTCATAGTCCAATCCATATAAAAAATGTTATTATAGCATTTCCTAACCATAACATATGTACATATTTAAATATTTTGGACAATTAAAATCCCAACAAAATCATGATGCGTTTCATTTCAAAAAAATATCATCCAATTGGGTTAAAAAATGAAAACATTCATATCTTCTTCCAATCTGTTATATTGAAAGTCAAATTTTCTTTTAAAAATTGCCTGCACTAATTAGAATGCAGTACGAAGAAATATGGAGAAGACTGCAGTCAGGACTGTGGTATCTGTCTGGAATACAAACAATGTGATCACATAAATGGAACATGTCAGGATGGATGTGATAGAGGTTACCATGGGCACCTCTGTAGAACAGGTAACTAGCTTTTAAGTATCAGGCCCGTAGAAAACAATTTTAGCTTGGGTGGGTGGGAGGGGGGTATAGCCAAACACTCTCAGTATATTATATCAACAAACTTATTGGAGGAGAGACGGTCCCCTGCTCCATCCCATTCCAACCCACCCCCACCCCCTCTGATTCTATGGACCTTCCTACATTGTACTTTCCGAGATTTTCATAAGTGTATATCAAGAGGAAAAAACTGATAAAGTCTAAAAATGTGAATTAATTTATTTGGCATTATTGTTATCTTATATCCTAAACATAAATGACTTATATGTAGGCCCTGTTTTAAAGCTCGCAGGAGTAACTGTTGTTGTGCACCTAGCAAAATTCTTATATATATATATATATATATATATATATATATATATATATATATATATATATATATATATATATATATATATATATATATATATATATATATATATTCCTTTATACTAGTATACAGTGGAACGATATTTTAAGGTAAACTAAAATGAACTAACACTTTTCACAAACAATACAAGAAGATAAGAGAACTATAATTACATGTACACAATATCGAGTGGACAGAAAGAATCTTAAAAAAAAGCACATCCTGTATTTTCAATCGTTCATCTTATTATGTAGATTCGAACGAAGTCATAAAAAAATATTGTTATTTTTCAAACTGTAGTTCTGTTCACAGGAGTTCGAGGATATAACAGACAATGTAAATGAAACTTCACAATATCGACACCAAGTATAATTGTGCATTTTAAATATTCAAAATGGCTACGATTAAAACAGAAGGACAAAGAAATATTTTATTTTTTCTCAGAGACTGCTCATCCAACCTACAAGAAAGTGTAAAGGATTGTTTTCTGCACAATACAAATTCAACTAAAAATACAAACCGTGAATAGTGCAAAAAACAGACAACTGGAGAAATCAAGGGCTAGATTACATTCTTAGGAGGAGAAAAAAATCAAATGTCTACCAGCCCTTCCGCCGTGAGCCTTGTATTGATCATTGTAACGTCAAGTTATTTGTCAGTAACCTGCCGGTGTAAATATTTTTCAAACTTATTACATACTATTGTGTACTCAGTCAGTTGGGAGATATAAACACATATGCAGGTGATATTTGAATATATTACTACATGTTCATGTCGATTTTGAATAATTTCTGCATCTGATGAACATAGAAAGCCAAGCCTTACAAAGGTACAAAAGTAATATTAATCAATTCCGAAGACCTGCACTCAATTGGGAATATTACATTTTACATGTAACAGTAGTTTGTAAAATCAGAATGGATTTTAACAAAGTAATATTGTAGACAACAGATCACGAGATCTGAAAATTTCCAAATTCCATTTTTATAGAAAATGCAAATGAAACATAAGGTAGTAAGGAGACGCTTATATATGTAATTAGTTTACATTCTCTGTACCTGTGATAATTATGAAAGTTCATTTTCGCACTTTTAATTCAGAGTGTGTACCAGGACAGTATGGTGTGAACTGTAAGGACACATGTAGTGAACACTGTTTAGTAACAAACAGATGTAACCATACCACAGGGGAATGTCGGGGTGGCTGTAAACCAGGGTGGAAAGGATTATATTGCGATAAATGTGAGTTATTCAGATATACAAATGTTCTCAATTCAGTTTTACTTGGTGCACTTTAAAGAAAATAATGAAGAGATCAAAAGTTATAACAGATTTTAGTTCAACATAGATACTTTCTCAATAAAGTTTATGTTTTGTAATTTACGCGGCCTAATATGGATTGAACATATTTCAATGTATGACATTTCGTGTTTACCTTCAATCTAATCAAAATCTCTTTGTTTTCCAAAATAAGCTATATTTTGTGAAAATCCATATAAATATTTATTTCAATGTGAAAAATCATTTAAATATATTAACTTTTGAAAATTATTTGGAGGTAGGCGGCAGAACAATACTATCGTTCGCAGTTCTTAGCCATTGACCAGCCTATAAGTCGGTACAACATTTTGTCAGAATCAGTTGACAATTTCAGATCAATCCTCTAATGATTTAACATGTGTTTTAAATAATGTTACGAATCAATCGTTAATACCCACAAATTAATTTCATTTCAGTATCTAATATGTATTTACCTTAAGCTTGTTCTGAGTTATGGCACAGATATTAAACATTTTTTTATTCAACAAATCAACATTATACAATCATCGTCGTCGTCTAGAGAAATAAATTTATAAGATTCGCCTTTAAGTTGGACATAGAATTTTAGACCAAAATCTTACTCCCCCTTCCCCCAAAAGAGAGACTTACAGGCGAGTATATACAGTAATTGACGATCACTTGATCAAACAGGTGCACGTGATATCGCAACAAATGTATTTGTATGTAGTTTGGAGATCCATTTGGGCAAACTGTCTAAGCTTATGTTTATAGCATAGCTTCATATTGAAATCAAAACCAAGCTAGAAATGTAATGATATGCTTTAAATATGATTTAATCATTCCGACAGCCTTAACATAGCTGCGTAATGGAAAATATTCGCACAAACAATTGCTGACTGGTATAAAAATGAACGATCTATTTATAAATTAAATGTCCTCCTCTCTCTAGACTGGATTTTTTTTATCCAACGCATGGAAAGAATCTGGCCTTTGCAATAGACAGTGTAGTCTTATCATGAAGAAACAAAAGCGAGGCAAAGACAAGTTACATGTTTCTGTACAAAGTTCAAACCATCATATAATTGCTATGGGTGTAGGTCGAATACTATATTACGTTTCATTACATGATGTACGCAGTGCTAGTGACCTCGCACATGCATGACCTTGAATTATGGTCACGGTAAACTGTGTTGCATTTAGTTTTCTCAGATGGGTCTAAAATGATCATTCGTTCCAAATTTGACCATGTAAATTACAATGGAAATTTAATCATGTGGTTGAATACAGTATGTGCACGTACATAAAATGTGCAAAATTGATGCTTTTGAGGAAGGCATTTAAATGCGACGAAGAGCTGGCTGTAAGCAAAAAGAAGTAGAGTATCCTTAATCATAAAGCGTGGGTATTGAAACCAAACCAGTCAAATGATAAAGATTCATACTGCTCTGTTCTAATAAATAACTTTGTTACTTTAAATAGCAGTAAGAAAATGTTATAAGAAAGTAATGGAAAGAAAGCTACGACGCCTTTGATTAAATTGAAATTGAAAAAATGGAAATAAATTGGTAAAAAAAGAATAAATAAATAAATAATATTAGAGGTTGCGTCACTCATAATAAAACAACATAAGTGATCGCTTATAATTAAAAGTCCCTAATGATTTTTTTCTTTTATATTACAACTTGAAAATAGACAATAACAGACATTTTTATCATTTAATAATCTAATTGTGTGTTGTTATTGTTATCATTGTTGTTCAAGCTAAAGAAGAGCCCAATTGGCAAGTCCGATTTTATGGAGTTCTTGCAGCGCTTTGTGTATGTGTTACAGTCATTGCCGTGTTGATAGTTGTTATGTGCCTGCTGCAAAGGTGCGTAAAATGGTTGACCTAAAAAAAGATTTTATCTATAACTATATTATTTCATGTATTTTGGCAAGGGAAAAGAATAACTCTCCAGACATTAGTAACCACGATTAACTTTAAGGATTAATTTTTATTTTTACAGGCAGAGCAAGAGTGGGACACATAAGGGGCACCCATTAAATGAAAGGCAACATCCCAAGCTTAATGTTAGTTATATAGAAGAGATGACCGGTGGAAATGTCAAAAGTGAATACCAAGAGCTAAGTGAAAGAGATGATACCTCTCCATATGATGTTATCAAGTCATAGCTGAAATTGTAGAGAATCCCTATGAAGTTGACGATATGTTTTAGATTTTTAAATGATGAGGGCGCATTAAATATTTTCCTCTGAATACGAATTGTTTATTTGTTTTTCCTAAAACTATTCTAAAAGGGTTTTTAATATTTGGGTTAAATTCTTATTTTCGTAAAATGAAAGTTGTTTACATATACTTGAATATTTGCTAATTTTCTCTATTGCAAACAAAAAGGATTAAAAAAAAACATTTCAATAAATCAAATGGACTTTGTCGAATGAAATGTTTATCACGGAATGTGATAAGAGCAATAATTATGTAACTATTTTGAACAACAGGGGATGACTTCTTTTTTTTTTTTAATTCGGTACATAATAAGGACTTTTACAAGAATCAATTTACTAGTACTCTGAAAACTGCTGGGGTTTTTTAAATGGCCATCACATTTGGGAGAACAAAACAAGAGAATACACGATATGCAAGTCCTTTTATGATACGATGTTGTCCAAGAAACAAAAAAAACGATGAGTCTTTTTTGTTTCGGTTTTTCGTTTTCGTTTTTTTTTTTTTTCATTTTGTTTTTTCTTTTTTTTTTTTGTATTTCTATCTATTTAGTTTTAGAATATGCAATCGACACAACATTTTGCGGATGTATGTTTTTACTTTGGATGAAGGTATTAAAAAAAAACATTGGTGGATACAATTATTGGTAATGTAATGTAAAACATGAAATATCTTCTTGGAAAGCATGAGACAACGTTTATTTTATTGTTCTGAAACAGTTTCAGAATAATAAAATAAACGATATATATATATATATATATATATATATATATATATATATATATATATATATATATATATATATATATATATATATATATATATATATATATATATATATATATATATATATATATATATATATATATAATGATATATATATATATATATATATATATATATATATATATATATATATATATATATATATATATATATATATATAATACCATTTTGGACGTCCTCATAACTCGAGATGGAGAGAAACTGTCAACTGATATACACTTCGAAACGACGGGCACCTATCATTACCTACATTTTGCTTCATGCCACCCCAGACACACCAAACGTTCAATACCATACAATTTATCAAGAAGAATTTGTACCATAGTAAGTGTTGAGTCACGAAAAAAGGGACGCCTAGGAGAATTGAAGGAGTATCTTCTGGATCAGCAATATCCTTTAAAATTATAGAAGATGGAATTAAAAAAGCAGAACGACTAGACCGTAACCAATTAATTAATCCATCCTCTACGGACACTGCAGAGGTGAAAATACTTCCTTTCGTTTCGACCCACAATCCAAAAAAATAGAAACATGACTCCATTTGTTCAACATCTAAATGAAGTTTTTAAAACCGACGAGAGAATGTCAAAAATTCTTCAAAATTTCCAATTCATCAATAGTAAGAGGCAACCAAAGAACCTCCGCCGCTTATTATGTAAGTCGCATTTTCAACAAAATAACGCACATTCAGTCAGGAAATGCCCCGACCGTCGTTGTGGAACATGTCCATACATAAAAGAAGGGAACCTTTCAAATTGGGACCAAAAATTTTAAAGTTTTACATCGGCGAGACTGGAACTGCTCTCCGTACACGTATTCGAATCCACAGACAGCATATTCAACATCCGGAACATAGACAGGTCAAAGTTAGTGAACACCTGGACCTTTGCGGTAATGGACATTTCACCGTTGTTCCCTTTTACAAACTATTTACTGACAGCACGGTGGAAAGAAGAGAAAAAGAAAAAAACATTTTATTAAATCTTTAAAACCAACTTTGAACAGTTTAATATAATTTATTTTATATTTGTTTAATTCCTATATGCTCTTCAACAATTACGTTTTTGCTTGTTTCCCGAATTCTCATTGTGACGTCATTGTATTTTTGGTACCGTCATTACCATAACATTTTAACGTCAAATGTTTAAAGTAAAACGTCTGACGAATTTGAACGTTTACAACTTGAATTGTTTTTTTTTTTCTTTTTTAAAATATTTATTGCCGGACACTGTGATAATTATATAATTTATTATACATTTTGGATATATATATATATATATATATATATATATATATATATATATATATATATATATATATATATATATATATATATATATATATATATATATATATATATATATATATATATTTACTGTTGACATCTTTATTAAATATGTATTAATTGATATTTCAGTAATTGAGTATTACTTGTGTACATTGACTGATATTAAGTCTATGTATATTATGCATATAAATATACTTATTGTTATTTTGTTAATACTGTGTAGGCCTAATACTCATTGTTATATATTATTGATTGTGCGCTTAACGTCATTATATGTCAAGTGTGACGTCACAGTACGTCCCTGCCCGGGGTAGCCCGACGGTGTTGTTATATAGACGGTTGTTGTCATTTTAGAGAGAGTGCTGATTTCCATATTGGGGAGAGTTGATTTTGTTATCGGAGTGAGCGGTCGACATTTGACCTGTAAGCATTGTTAATTGTTATGGATGTTTTATTGTTGTAACTAATAAACGGTTAAAACTGAAATCGATTCCTGTCAATTGATTCGGTACTATCGGGCAACCGCCCGTAACAATATATATAGTGTGTGTGTGTGTGTGATCTTCTTCTCGTATTTCAATCTGAATTACGTTTCCCCGATTATTTTCGGTGGTTTTCAAGTTTTCAAGCATGTAAACATTTACTTTCCAACAACACTTTTACAAGCACTACATGTAGCTACATAGTTTGCATTACCTACGCACAGTGAAGTTGCCAAAACTTTCTATTTCCACCATGGAAGAGTTATAGTTCTTAGTGCAATCTTCTGTGAAAAAGTCGGAAAATGTACAAATATCGCGGAATTTCTGGGACAATTGTAACAACATGTTAACAATACCTTGAATATTGATGCTACTATCATATAGTCGAGTGGCTTCTGGCCAAAAGGTATCTCGTGCAGACCTTGGTTAAGCAACAAGCAGTGGCAGGACAAGATCGCGCGTTCTGACGACGAGGCAGACTATGCTGACGAAGACTGGGAGCCGGAAGACCATACTAGTAGTCATGATTAAACAAACATTTCTAGTATTTGCTTATTTGTGTATTTTATCATTATTTACACACATGTCGGGTAATCTCAGTATTTTTTCTTGGAATGTCAGAGGCATTATGTCATCATCAATTTGTCTGTCCAAAATGCTTGATTATGTTAATTGCGATATTGCAATTGTATCTGAACACAAACTCAAGTCAAATAATGCTACATATCTAGACTCCATCCATTCCAACTATTTAAGTTATGTTCGTACAGAACCCATTGTTGAAAATACCCAATTTTCACGTTATTTAGGTAAAGGTGGAGTTGGAATTTTGTATAAAAAGGATCTAAAACAGTTTGTATGTGAGTTAGCAGAAATGGACTCATCACGTATAGTAGGATTAGAAATCAAACAATCATGCGAACGTTCCCTGTTTATCCTTGGTGCTTATCTTCCGGCAGATAATGTTATCCAGTCCTATGCTAATGAGTTAAGCTTACTTGAAGATCTTGTAGTTCACTTTTCATCCATAGGAGATGTAGTTATTGGGGGTGACTTCAATGCTAGTTGTTATGACACAGACTCTGGTCATGTTAATGTGTACAAATCTAGTTTGCTCAAACAGTTTGTAATGCGTAACTTCATAGGATGCCCCCGTGTCTATTTCAACGCATCTGGTTCACAATTTACTTTTCTGCAAACTAAGTCTACACTTGATTATATATTTTGTAGCAATTCTCTTTGTAAGCATGTTAAAACGTATCATGTATTTGAGGAAGGCTTAATTAGCTGTACATCTGACCACCTTCCTGTTTCCATGGTTCTTGAACATTATGTTAGTAATCGTACTTTAGATATAGGATTTCAATGTTTGCCAGCATGGCATAAAGCTGACTCTTGTAAAATCAAATCATATCAAGACTTTGTTTCAAAAGAATCTAGAAGATTGCTACAAAGAAATCTGGATTGTGTTGATGATATTGATGTTTTTTGTTTTGATCTTAACTGTCTGTTACGCAATGCTGCATCCCAGTATATCCCTGTGTCTAAATATAAACCATATCTAAAACCGGAATGGACGCCAAAAGTAAAACAATCCCATGATGCAGAACGACAAAAACGCAGGATATGGTTAAGTGAAGGTCGTCCACGCGGTATGTGTCACGAATCCTATAGAAACTATAAAGGCGCCAAAAGGGACTTTCGTAAAGAGCTTCAATCCGCACACGACGATTTCTTGACAAGTGTATTTAAGGACATCGATGAAGCTTCTGAGTGTGATGTGCGACTCTTTTGGAAGCTCATTAAACGACAAAGACCTCGTAGCTCCCGAATATATCCTGAAATAGAACTTGGAGATGTTACCTATTCAAACCCTGAGGATATAGCTAACTGCTTTGCGCATCACTTCGAAAATATCTACAATCCACAGGATAATGGAACCTTTAACTCTGACTTCTTCCAATTTATCGAAAAATCTTACTACGATCTTAAATCAAGTGCCAAAATTCTGACCGATAAATCCTTTCCAGGTGGAGATGTCATCACCGACGAAATTTCCACAATCATTAGTGAGTTAAAACGCAGAAAAGCTCCCGTGTTAGACAAAATCCAGAATGAACATATTATCTACGGAGGCTCGGGACTCAAACTGTGTATACAGCATCTTTTTAACTCTATTGTTAAAATCGGCCAAATCCCAGATTCCAGGAAAAAAGACATTATTGTCCCTATACACAAGGGAAGCAACAAACCACGGAAATCACCTGACAGTTATAGACCAATAGCTTTACTTCCGTGCCTTCTTAAGATTTTCGAGAAACTGCTACTACTCAGGATTAAAACACACAATCTTTCCACTATTGATTTTCCAAACACACAACAACAAGGATTC